CGCGTCCTAGCGCAAGTAGGCGATGCCAGCTCCCTGCGCCGGGGCCGTTGACAGACATCAGCGGTCTAGTCCATGACTTGCAAATCCAGCTTTGAATCCACAGCTTGAGTCTGCTGAGAGTAGGAGGTATCGCAGAGCGCACCATGGGTGCCTTCAGAGTCAGCTCCCAAGGAGGGGCCGTAAAGAGCATCGTGACGTCGCTGTGCATTGGCCTCTGCCAGTGCCACCAGCTGATCATAGCTGCGGGGATGGGCAGGCCGCCTGCGTGGTTTTCGTTTAGGACCCAGTCGGAGCCGGAGCAGCGTAGACAGCTGGCGTATCGGCAGTACAGTCCATGTCTTGCAGATGCTCGGTCTCCCTTGCGGGGCCGACTTCCTGACATGACATAGGTCCCACCCAGTCCTTGGCGATCTTGTTGTGTTCCGAAGTTCCTTTCGTACGGCCAGATCCTTTGGACGGTCTGTCTGCAGGAAGGGAAGGATCATCAGACTCAAGCCCTCTTCTTTCTTCTGCACGCCCCTTGCTCGCAGTTTTTTTTTTTTGTGTTTTCGGTGTGGTGGTGGTTGTGGTTTGCGTCTTTTTTTTTTCTCGTTGGGTGTTGTGGTGGTTGGCGTCCGGTGTGTTGGTGTGTGTTTTTTTTCGGTGTGTGTTTTTTTTTGGTTTTTTTTTGTTTTTTCTTGGTCTGGTGGTGGCTTTGGTTTGCGCGGGTGTGTGTGTGTGTGTTTCTTTTTTTTTCCGGTGGGGGGTTGTTGTGGTCTGTGTCGGGTGTGTGTGTGTGTGTGTGTGTTTTTGTGTTTTTTTTTCTTTCTTTCTTTTTTTTTGTTCGTTGGTGTTGGTGGTTTTGGGTGTTGGCGGTGTTCTGGTCCTGGTGGCGCTGGCGTTGTGGTTGGGCTGGTTTTGTTGTTGTTGTTGTTGGTGGTGGTCCTTGTGTGGTGTTGGTTGTTGTGTCGTCTGTGATTGTTGTTTGGTTCACTTCCCAGGCCTTCCCTTTTTTCTGGGTGACGCCACTTTGCGTGTGTTGGTAGACGCCTCTCGGCACAATCTTATCCATCCGGCTCCCCGGCCTACTCCTTCCGATTCCTGCCCGCCCTCTGCATGTAAACCTGCGTTTTTCGACCTACACGCCACCCTACTGCCTCAAGCTCCTACGCCTCGCTCCACTCCTTCGAGTCGAAGTCCCTCGACTCGCTTCAGTCGCCCCCTCCCGCTGTGCCTGGGGGCCTGGGAACCCGACGACTGCTGTTTTTTTTTTTTTTTCTCCACGTCATCTACTCCCTCTTGCGGCCTCTTCTGGCCCAAACCCTCCCACTTGGGCCCAAAACCTGAGTTTGGGTGAGATCAGGGCCTTTCCTGGCCCAAACCCCTAGTATAGAGCCTAAAAGCTAGACAACCGAGTTCTGTGAATTTCTTAGGTTCGCCTCCACCTCCTCGAATAGAATCTCTCGCTCCTCGAGAGTTCCACCTTCTAGCGTTCCTCCACCCAGCCACTCCCTCCTGCCGAGCCTGGGGCCTGGGCACCCCTCCACTGTAGGCTTCGTGGCTTGTCGTCGTGGGTCGAATACCTGGGTTTGGTCAGGGCCTTTTCCTGGCCCACTCCCTCACTCTCGAGCCGAAAACCTGGGCAACGGAGTTCTGTAGGTTACTTAGGTTCGCCTCCTCCGCCTCAAGTAGAACCTCTTGCTTCTTGAGAGACCCACCTCCCTTCCGGGAAATTCAGGCGCCCTATCCCCCGCTCATTGAGTGATTCACACGCCCGCGCTCGTACGAGCCAGTCGCCTCCTTTCGCCGCGCCTGGGGGCCCGGGCACCCCACGACTGTAAGTTTCGGAGGTTCGATTTTATCTGCTCTCTCTTGAAGCCTCTTCCGGCCCATACCCCCCCTCGCGGGCCCAGAACCTGAGTTTGGGTGAGACCAGGGCTTTTCCTGGCAAACCCCTACGCTCAAGCCTAAAACCTGAGCAACCGAGCTCGGTAGGTTTCTTATAAGTTCGCCTCCCGCTCCCTGCGAGTTCCACCTTCTCGCGCTCCCACGGTGAGACCCCCTTTTCTCGCGTCGGAAACCTGGGTTTCTCAGGTTCGCTTCCATTTCCTCGAGTGATACCTCTCGCTTCTTCAGGGTCCAGGTCCCACGGATTTCTTCCTGTCAAGCCAGCAGCCCCCTCCCGCCCAGCAGTTTCGCGTTCATCCACTTTGTGTTTGGGTGAGATCAGGGCCCTCTTTCGCCCAATCCCTTATTCTCGAGCCGAAAACCTGTTCTCTGTAAGTTTTTTTTTCCATTCCCACGAGTAGTGTTTCTCGCTCTTGAGAGTTCCAAGTTCTCACGCTTTCAACGGGCCACCTCCTGTCAACCCAGCCGCCCCCTCTCGCCGAGCCTGGGGGCCTGGGTAACCGACTCCTGTAGGCTTCTTAGGTTCGTCTGGGCAACCGCCTCCTGTTCGTCTCCTCCGACTCGTCGAACACTTCCCTCTTTTCCACGCTCGTACGGGTAGTTCGTGATAACCCAGTCGCCCCTTCTCGCCGAGCTTGGGGGCCTGGGTACCCAACGACTGTAGGTTTCGTAGAATCAACTGCATCTACTCCTTCATGAGGCCTCTTTTGGCCCAAACCCGCTTTCTCGGGCCTAACGTGTGAGTTATGGGTGGGATCAGGGCCTTTCCTGGTCAAACCCCGAGCCTCGAGCCGAAAACCTGCACAACAGGTTTCTGTAGGTTTCTTAGGTTGAGAACCACGTTCTTGCGTCAACCCAGCCGCCCCGTCCTACCGAGTCTGGGGGCCTGGGCACCCAATGCTTCATCTACTCTTTCTTGCAGCCTCTTCTGGCCCAACCTGGGTAAGATCAGGGCCTTTCCGGACCCAAATCCCATTCTCGAGGACAACCGCGCAGTGTAGGCTTCTTAGGTTCGCCTCCACCTCCTCGAATAGAATCTCTCGCTCCCGCGCTCGTACGAGCCAGTCGCCTCCTTTCGCCGAGCCTGGGGGCCCGGGCACCCGACGACTGTAGGTTTCGGAGGTGTTGAAGTAGCTCTACTGCAAGGGGTGGGGGACGTCGACGCAGTGGGCAAGCTTGCAAGCTGCGTGACCACATGAGCCAGCAATCTGGGCAGAGGGGCGCGGCATCTGGGCGGAAGTATGCTGAGTGAGCGCCGTGGTTCCAGCGACATTGTGTCCGGGAGTGCAAGATGCACCCGCAGGAGGCACAGGGGGTATGCTCGGAAGCCGTGCAAAAGCACGGAGAGGGGTTCCTGCCGGCAGGCGGCCAGGCAGCACCGCCACAAGTCCAGCAACAAAGTAAACGTTGCATGTTTGCCTGAGGGCAAACGCACGATTGGGCTAAGCCGGAAACTGCATCTTGCCACGCGGGCAATTGTGGATCCCAGGCAGGCACCGAGTCTTGGAGGACGGCTGCCCCGTGGTGTAGCATCGTCGCCAACAAAGCAGAATCTGCTAGGCGACCACACGGACCCATGGCTCGGAGGTTCGATTTTATCTGCTCTCTTTTGAAGCCTCTTCTGGCCCATACCCCCCCCTCGCGGGCCCCAAACCTGAGTTTGGGTGAGATCAGGGCTCTTCCTGGCAAACCCCTACGCTCAAGCCTAAAACCTGGGCAACCGAGCTCGGTAGGTTTCTTATAAGTTCGCCTCTTCTCCTCGGGTAGTATCTCCCGCTCAGGTTCGTTTCCATTTCCTCGAGTGATACCTCTCGCTTCTTCAGGGTCCAGGTCCCACGGATTTCTTCCTGTCAAGCCAGCAGCCTGGGGGCCTATTCACCCGACCGTAGGTTTCGCAGGTTCGCGTTCATCCACTTTGTGTTTGGGTGAGATCAGGGCCTTCTTTGGCCCAATCCCTTATTCTCGAGCCGAAAACCTGTTCTCTGTAAGTTTTTTTTTATTTTCTCCATTCCACCACGAGTAGTATTTCTCGCTCTTGAGAGCTCCAAGTTCTCACGCTTTCAATGGGCCACCTCCTGTCAACCCAGCCGCCCCCTCTCGCCGAGCCTGGGGGCCTGGGTAACCGACTCCTGTAGGCTTCTTGGGTTCGATCGGGCAACCCCTCCTGTAGGCTTCTTAAGTTCGTTTCCTCCGACTCGGCGCGCATCTCCCTTTTTCCGCGCTCGTACGGGTAGTTCGTGTTAACATGTTTCTATGATGGTGGGGAAAGACCAGGAAGATCTGTTCGAGGGTGGAATGCACCTGATTCTGCTGGACTTGTACTTTGTGGAAGGTTTGGGGGGAAGACGTGTTGTTTGAAGCTGTTCTCGTACTCCTCGGACGGTGCATCCATTTCTTCTTCCGCAGACCGAGCATCCGTGTCTTTTCGAAAGCCCCCACAAGGCGCATGCATACTGTCGCGATTTTTCATTTTGCCACCTTCCAGAAGCCACCAAGATGTGGGACCCCTTCAGAGCGTTTGTGTGCATGTGATACATGAGAGAGTTCTGTTATTGCTTGCAGTACAAGGGACGATGGAAGTACCAGTGCTAGTCGAGGAAAGCCAGCAGACTTCGGGGGGAACTAGTGTATGCTTTGAGTAGCATATTGTGATGTTGCAGTGTGGTTCGTTGGGGTCACAGTGTTACCGGAGCGAGTTGTCAAGTTGCAACATGCAGCGAGTCGGGAAAACAGAGCTGGTCGCAACCTCAGGATGATGTGAGGCCGGGGGTTACCATAGTTGGTTAAGGGTTCGGGGATACATGAGTTGAAGTACGGCCCACCTCATCTCGTGCTTTCACCGCAGAGACCGGGGCGAGGGCGCATTCGTGCGCAGGGGGGGCGAGAGCTTCCCTCTCGGCTGTGTGGAAGAAGACAGGCTGAGGCCCACGAGAGAGAGAGCCGGAGAGGTAGAGAGGTAGACATTAGAGAGATAGTTTAGAGTCAGATAGACAGATAAGGAGAACAAAGACTGTGTGTATAAGAGACTGTGTCAGAACATGTCATGAGATGAGGGGCGTCCAGCAGTTTCAGACTTTGAGGTCATCTCGGCTTTAGTCGGAGAACATTGCCAGGTCACGAGTATCGTCAGTGTCAACGAACAGCTACAGATCAATGGCATGGAGTTTCAGGCGGGTTCTGTAGTAGAGACAGAGAGAGTGTTGGCCTTTCCTGTAGTGCGGTGGACAGGTGATGGCTGCCGAGCCCGTGCCACCCGAAATAGGTATCGTTGATCTGAGCACTGTGGTGCCGCTGGCATTGTTCAGAATTTCGCCGGGTTCGATTTACGGCCCGTGACGGCTAGCGGCCAGGTATTCGTCGATTGGGACAACACGTGGCGGGCTGTGCGTGGTCGCTTCTTTCGCAGCTTCTCGCAGCTTCTCGTAGCTTCTCGTAGCTTCTCGAGGCCCGAGTTCTCCAAGATCCACTTCGTACCCTTTCAAGACACACTGCCCGCAGCGCGGGGTGGCCCAGAGCAAACAGAAGGTGATCCTCTTCTTCGTTTTCGTGGCCTCGGCTAGACAAGGCTCACAGACTCATGTCAGCTTTGTCGGGTGGCTCTGCTCCCAGGTATGAGTACGACATCTTCAACGATTACTTAAAGCCATACCTGACACGGAGAGACGTGCTCGTGACTTGCTACGACCTGGCAGTCGTGCTGTGCATTGGGGAGGAACAAGCAGCAGAGCTTCGCCATGAATGACCAGTTCACATTTCAGGTCTATGCGCATGTGTGTCTCGGGGACTCGCTGTGCGAATTGCAGTTGCTCCGCAGGGGGTTCAGTTCAAAGTGGTCTGCTGCGAGCCACGTGGAGAGCGAGGGCGCATTGGCAGGGAGCTGAGAGAAGGGAAAGGAAGCGAAGGCCAGCAAACCGACCTCAACGCGAGGCAAGAATACGACAATCTACTGCGAGGGAGCCGGGAACTTGGCAAAGGCGCAACCAATTGCATACGTCCCGAGACTCAACGAACTAGCAGGTTCTTCACCCATCGCTTCGCAATCTACTTCCTCCGGAAATGCCGCTGCCTCAAGGATTTTTGCCATGCACCCCTCAATCGGCTCAATCGGGTCTTGGACCATAAGTCGCAGAGGGTACGAGACACCCCGAGCCTTGTTGGGTGTACCGCACCCTAAAATAATCTATCTTGAGATCGCAGCCCTATTGGTCCGTCAATCTCCGTTGTGTAGTTGTCTTTCCTTTGTCCTTCTAACAGTCTGTGTTTAAGTGCGAGATTTGCAACTCTTACCTCTCGTTCATCCATTTCCCGTTTTAAAATTGCTTGTGCAAGTTTAGCTTTGATGCTTCATTTACGACGGGAGTGTCCAAAGACTTACTGTTTTTCATTGCACGAAGATAAACACGATGATAGTACAACTCAACTTGCAGGATCTAGAGATATGCGCAAAAAACTGCAAGGTTTATTCCAAGTCATTTATGTAACTTAAAAACACATCCACAGAGCGTTTAAACAATATCGAAGATGAATATGACCATGTGGAAATGGCTGATATGATGCTTAGTGAAATTGTCATGAATTTGATGGCAACCTCGTTAGTAAAGCATTGTTTCAAGTTAACGAAGAACATGTCATTAGTATTTTTTAGCATTGGTTTCTCTGCAGAAGAACTAGTAAGGTGCACGATTCACGGCTTGTCGATACATCTCATAGAATGCGTTCTTGTCCACCAGTGCAGAAGATTTCTTAAGAAGTGCTTTGACTTCGTTCATGTTCTTGAGCCTGAAGAGCAAAAGCGTTCAATCTAAGAATCGGTGCCAATACGTCATACTTCTCAGTGGCTGAACTGCACGAGATAGCATTTTGGCGACCTTTCGTGAACAACCCGTATAACAAACTTGACTGTCTTACAAGTTTCGGATCGACTGCAAAGTCGCCAACAACTGACACGGAATGCTGAACAGATGTTTTGGTTTGTTCTTCTTCTGGAAGTGTATGACTTTGTGCTGTGTTTGAATAATCTTCTGCAGAACCACCGGGTCGTAATCCTCATGACAAAGCTTATCTTTCTCGGCGTCTAGCTTCATGACGTCGCGTATGGATTTCTTGACTGCCGTCCACGTGTCGTCTACATGAACACTAGGTGAGCAGATGTTTATTCAGTCATAAGATCTTTTGTAGATTTTCATTATTATGTTTTGGGTCAATACTGTCTTGCCACTGGTTGAAAAAGCCAAACATAACATTCTTGGCGGTAGCTTCGGCATCATGTCATACTTGCTGTTTCTATATGCATATTCGGGTATTGGCTCTAGCTTAGGAATTTTACATAACGGATCAGCACCTAGAAACTTGAAAAGTTGTAACACAAGATGCCAAGCTTAAACGGTCGCGCCCGTTCATTGAAATTGGCGAAAAACTAAGACGAACGCCGAAGGTAAAAACGCATTGAAGATAGGACTGCATGAAAAGGGAAGCAGAGGAGTCACCCCGATGAAAACCCAATATTCAGAAGCAGCATACAAGATCATGAAGGTGTTGATACGGTGTCTACCGGATGGGAATCGCGCAAGCCTACACCAGAAGAAGGACTAGACAAAGTGGAGGAGGATGTGTAAAGGATAGGCAAAGATGTAAGTATCCGAAGGGCCTAAAGAATGCTTGTCACGGACATAGTTAGCATCTAGTTTGACATTGACAGCGTAAGCCCAACAGTTGTATAGAGACCTTGCCCAGCCATTTCAGAGCCCCGTCCAGAAAAAATAGTGTCCCATTGCTTCGGTGTGAGGGACAGATTCATAACAACAAGAGTGTGGAATTGATATTAATTCATAAGTAGCTTCGCTAAATCTTAAGGGAATGCAAAGACCCTCTCATAGTCTCTCACTATGAAAAAGCGTATGTTATATCAGTATAATGCAAATGAAAGCAAGCAAGATAAAACTTGATTTCGATGCATATAATGAACCTGATGTGAGCTTCTGTGTCAGTAAACACTTTTGCGATCATGCAATGATATTTGTTCTAAAATGTTTCGTTTAAAGCAGTTTAAAGGGATAGTGTTATTAGTTCTAGTAAGATGTAGAGAATCAAACGTACAAGATGCCACAGGAAACAGCCGTCCCTGGAGTTCGCAACTGCATGAAATGCAGAGCGAAAAGACTTCAGGAACACGAACGTAGGAAATAAGCAGCCTGAAATCCAAGAAGTTTTTGATCATGTTAAACATCTGTTGATGAATAATCTGCTAGTGGAGAAAATTATGCTATTTGGTAAGCGCAAGGACAGAGTGATGATTGAGATACTTGTGGATGACACGCCGGATCTTATGCCATGATGCTATGATGTATTTATCGTGCACAAGCAGTTTTATCATATAAGTACATTAGGGTTACAACCCTTAACCCCAAACCCTGAACCAAAGTCTAGAAGACCCCCCTTAACCCTTGAAAACCCGAAAACAGACGTTAAACAGCACTTGTAAAGCCCTGGGCCCGTATTCCCAGATAGTCCGACGCACCCTCCAGATCTGACAATCCAAGTGCGTGTAGCCAGAAGTTTAATCACCGCAAATGACCGCCTTAAAGAAGCTTGACAAAGAGCAGGGGGCCTCAGGCAGGGCTCGGACGAAGACCTGATGTGCAATGGTAGTAGACCCTAGACCATCCGGCTCGGCGAAGACAAAAGCCATGTGTTTGGCTGCTTTAGCCACAATGTTAGCGTCTGAGAGGATCCTGTGTTGCGGTGCCGAAAGGCGACAGGGTACCGGACCGTGAACTGGCGCGCCGGGGGTTGCGACCAACATGTCATGGCGAATTGAGTGTAGAACAGAGCTGGGACAAGCCAGCTGGCTCGCCCACTATAGTATGTGTTGCGGGCATATTCAGTTCTTGTTTTCAGGTTCCATGTCAGAGAACCAGTGTCGGGTCGTTGTTGAAGACGTTCGAGAGGGTTCGCGACATTGGCTTCGCAACATGAGCGCTGCCGAGGCTAGAACAGCTGCAAAGCTTGCCCCCTGGGTTGCAAATGATGCTGCTCAATACGGAGGAGCCGCTGACTTGTGGGCTACAGTATGTGCCCCGTTGCAGCACCAAGAGACTTCGGGCAGGCTCTTGCTGGTGGCTACGAAGAGCGTTTGATGGAGGCTGTGCGGGAAGCGGCTGGGACAAGCCACGTTACATCAGAAAGAGGCTCTGCTTGTCCAATTATTTACAGCAGATGCTAGTTTTCCTGATGTCCAATTATTTACGAAGGATTTGCCTGCCGCACGTGCCCCGGGGCCAGGAAAGTGTAGAAACTACGAGATGGACCATTTTTTGCTCTCGATAACCTTGAATCGCAGCAGTAAATGGATGATTCTCCGCTGGATCTCGCAAGCTAAGGGGAAGCATAAGTCGATTGCGCCCGAAACACGCCAGCACATGGCGGAAAGTACTTTCGCGCCGGTCCTCGAGCCCCCAATACTTGATGGAAGGCGATTTCGTCGTGCTCTCAATTGTGTCTGACTCCCGCCAGTATGTTGGGGAAGGCATTCGAGGCGTGGTTTGAAGGCGCCAGTGCTTTGGGGAAAGCATGTTGGCATGGTCCCAGTGGTCTCCTGGTGGTCTCCTGGTGGTCTCCTGGCCCTGGTCGTTGTTTTCATGGTCGGCATGGTCGTTTGTGGTGGGAACCACGGTGTACATGTTGGAAAATCACACCTGGCAACTAGTTGAGACTTTTGTTCTCCCAAGCCTGTTCGCATGTGACAGTGGTCGTGACGTCCTGGCCATAACGACATAGGTTCTTTCACTGTCCGGGGATCTTTGCCGCTGGCACAATGGTGCTAATATGCCGAATGTTCAAAATACTGATAATCGTAGTACTAGTTTTCGTAGTAGTGACAATAGAACTAATGATAATAGTGATAATAGTAATAGTCGTGATGATCGTAATAATAGTAATAATGGTATACCCCTTCTGGTCGATGGTGCCTTCAGTTGCAGGCACTGCCCCACACGCCAGGGCAATACTGATTGAGCTTGCGCAGTCAAAACAGGATCAGCTGAGTTTCCCTTAGTCCTGCTGCCGGTGCGTGTGTGCGTGTTTGGTTCGGCCGCCCCGCACCCCAAGCCGTTTCTCCGAGCCAGTGCCCCCAGCTTGCCAAGTGCCCAAATCCAACCCATGCCATGCCTCGCAGTTTGGGTGGGCGAGCCCATGGAGGTGCGGGTGGCACTTTTCCCTGCTTGGATTGATGGGCTCGGCGCGTCGGGCACTTGCCGGGTCTCCCTGGTGACGAAAACGGAGGGGGAAGAGATGGCGGGAGGGAACGTTTCCGTTCGGCCGGGGTGCACCCGAAGGCCATCCACTCACTCACTCACTCACTCACTCGCTCACTCACTCACTCACTCACTCACTCACTCACTCTGTTAAATGACACTACCCTAATGAGCCCCTTAATGTTCACGATGCATTTGTGAATGCGACAATGCCGAATGGCATTGGCTCAAGAACCAACTGGACGGACTGCCTGGTTGCATAAAGAAGTGCTTGT